GGTGATTTTAATGCTCAGATAGGCAGTTTAAACCAAACAGAAAGGCATTTAGGTGGATATTTTAGTATTCCGACACAGCGAACAGATAATGGTGATCGTCTGCTGCAACTATGCTCAGACAATCGTTTATTTTTAGCAAACACAAATTTTAAGCATAAGGAGAGACATCGTCTAACATGGCGACCCCCTACACCAAACCAACGATGGACTCAAATAGACCATATTGCCATCAGTCATCGTTGGAGAGGGTCGGTAGAAGATTGTCGCTCATTCTGGAGTACCTGCTTGGACTCCGACCATGCCCTAATACGGGCACGCATCTGCTTGCGCCTCACTGGACGCAAAAAAGCCACATTAAAAAGACCCGTTAGAACTGATTTGAGTAACGAGAAAACCAAAAGTAGGTTCCAGGAACAACTGAGGTCACACTTAGGTAGTTGTGAAGACGAGGCTGACCCAGATGTTGCTTGGAAGGGCATACAACCAGCTGTGGAAACAGCAGTGACATCTATTAGTGACTTAAACCACAGAGTTGCAAGGAACCAGTGGATTTCTTCAAGGTCTGTCACACTGATGGATTCTCGCAAACTCGTCCCATCAGGTCCTGAACATGATGAAAAGCGAAAACAAATCAGATCTAGGTTAAGAAAAAGTCTAAAGAACGACCGTGAGCAGTGGTGGGTAACGAAAGCAAAAGAGATGGAAAAGGCGGTGACTATAGGGAACACAAGACAGCTTTACAGACTAATAAAAGAAACTGGAATTAGTAAGTCAAGTGTAAGTGAGATTATTTCGGAAAAAGATGATACTCTCATCTGCTCCCAGTCCAGACGTTTAGAACGATGGGCGGAACATTTTAGAGAACAGTTCAGCTGGCCTTCAGCTACTCTACAACTACCCTCCATTCCCAGACAGTGTGAATGGAACATTGAAATAGGTCCCCCTACTCTTGCTGAAGTTCAAAAGGCTATAGTTAATCTGAAACGAGGAAGGGCAGCTGGTCCAGATGGATTGGCTCCAGAGGTCTTTAAGGATGGTGGTCCAATTTTAGCGATTAAGTTGACTAATATTTTAGCTAAGATCTGGGAATTAGACTTTATCCCATGTGACTGGTCGCAATCACTTATCGTCCCAATATATAAGAAAGGGTCAAAATCATCCTGTGACAACCACAGAGGGATTAGTTTAACAAACATAGTTTCTAAAATACTGGCCTCGATAATTATCAAACGCCTAACTAAGACTCGTGAACTACAAACTCGAGAGAACCAAGCTGGCTTTAGACCTGGTCGTGGCTGCATCGACCACATATTCACCATTCGTCAGGTTCTAGAACACAGGCATACCTATCGGCGTCCGACGATGGTGGTCTTTCTTGACTTAAAAGCAGCATTTGACTCGGTAGACCGCGAGACTCTGTGGCAGTGTCTGTCATTGAAAGGCGTACCTCAGAAGTACATAAACCTTGTGAAGGCTCTTTACTCGAACACTACTAGTCGAGTCAGGGCTTATGGCGAACTGTCATCTACTTTTGCAACGTCAAGTAGTGTCCGTCAAGGCTGTCCACTTTCTCCATTTTTGTTTAACTTCATCATAGACCTACTGATGGAAATAACATTCTCGTCGACTGAATTCTCGGGTATTGGTCTCCTTCCAGGAGGTCCACTTATCGACTTAGAATATGCAGATGACATAGTCCTGTTTGGTGAAGACGCTGACAAAATGCAGAGTCTTCTGGTAGCACTAAACAACAATGCCAAAATGTTTGGAATGCGCTTCTCTCCCACTAAATGCAAGCTGCCGCTTCAGGACTGGTCTGCGTCAACACCTGAACTAAGGATAGGGAGTGAAGTAGTCGGACGCGTCGACAACTTCACTTATCTTGGAAGTCTGATCAGCCTTAATGGGTTGGTATCGGACGAAATCTCAGCACGGATTCGAAAAGCTCGCTTGGCTTTTGCCAACTTGCGTCACCTTTGGCGAAGGCGAGATATCCGTCTATCAATAAAAGGACGAGTATACTGCGCGGCAGTTCGTTCTGTTTTAATTTACGGCAGCGAAACATGGCCCTTAAGAGTAGAAGACACCCGTAAGCTACTAGTATTTGACCACAGATGCCTTAGAAATATTGCTGGCGTCTGCTGGGATCACCGGGTAAGTAATAGTGAGGTTAGACGCAGGGTATTAGGGAATGATGGTAAATCAGTTGATGAGGTTATGAATCTTCATCGACTGAGATGGTTGGGCCACGTATTACGTATGCCTGTACACCGATTACCACGACGTGCAATGCTAACCGGGGTAGGGGATGGTTGGAAGAAAGTTAGGGGCGGCCAAACCAAAACGTGGCATCAGTGCCTGAAGTCACTAACTTCTAGTCTGAGCCACGTTGGTAGATGCAGACTACTTGGTTGGGGTCCGCGTGACTTTCGTAACCAATGGTTGGAGACTCTTGGTGACATGGCTCAGAATCGATCACAGTGGCGTCGGTGTATACACTCCCTGTCTTCCCTTAAAATAAGAGACTAAAATCACTTCATTCTTTCTGTCTACGAACTAATTCTTTCTTCCTATACTATATCCTTATTGCAACCTTTGACCTAACCACTCCTATGAATCCGGTGTTCATCTTGCTGTGCTAATGAGGTATGGCAACCTGGACCGATGCACATATGTGCCTGGTCCTACGTTGTAGCTGACTGACATATATATATATATATATATATATATATATATATATATATATATATATATACTTTATAGTAATCACATTTGACAAGATAAACAGTTGACTGACTGGTGAGTCATGAAACTTCCGTCATGGTTATTTAACTGAACAAGATCAGAACACTATACTGATAACACTTTCGGTCTACAAACGATTCGCGAATGCCGACTGGGAAGATATAATCTTTAGGAAATTTTATTCTGTTAAAAGTTACATGATTGTTTATGTTAAATTCGATTAGAATTTGGTGGAAAGTTATCAAATATTAAGTGGATATCCCTATATATATACTTTATAGTAATCACATTTCTTACATACTTAAAGTGTGAATGATGGCGAGAAGAGTATCGATTCGTGTGTTGTTCTCTTTGATTGAACATATATTTTGCTTGGTGTTTGCACTTTCATCTCCATTGACAGCATCTGACTTCAAGTTTACTTTATATAATTGACTTGAACTTCACATTTCTTGATAAATTGTTGTCCACGTAATTGTAGATGGTTTTCAGCACGAACTTTCACCAATTAAATGACCACTCAAAATCATGGGACATTGTGTATCTATGATCTAGTCAAGTCTTGAAACTAAGATCTTCATACCTCACGATGAGCACGTTATAATTAGACCAATGCTGAGTCAAAATACGTTGATTTTAATGAATTGGCTATATGATGAGACAATCGTCCCATGGCATTGGCAAGCAACTATCTCATTTCTGGCATGGTTGAAGTTTACTAGTCTGTGACAAAGGCTATCTATAAACTAAATTGATCTCCATACACTTCTGCAGCAAACTATGATATAGTTTGTAGGTATTATTACCAATGTTTGACTTGATAATTTCGAGTAAATTGAACATTGGGTAGATTGTTTTAAATAAATAATATTCTTGTTGTTCCGTTGTACTATTTAAACCTGGATTAATTTTGATTTGTTACCGATTACGAGCGGATTCACAATCTCTTCGGCCCCTTATTTGTAGGACTTATTGTGGTTGAGGAGCCTTCAAAAAGTATATATATCGAGATATCCATTTAATACTATTTAAACTTGAATTAATTTTTATTTGGTCATTTATTTGTTCTCTGAAGAAGTGGCTTACACGAAGTCACGAAACGTCAGAAGATCTAATTTTTCTACTCATCGGGATATTACAAATATATTATTTATTTATATTAATTTCAGTAATTGTCATTTCATTTTATCTGTATATATTACACTGGTATAAACACATTAAGTTTTCGTTTGAAATGAAGTTCCTACGATTCAAAAACCACCCTTTTAATGTTTCGTTTTACCTTACTAATTAGTTCTTTGTGATGCGTTACCATCTTACAATTAAAATGTCCATACCATTTTAACTACTTAACTCGGAATGTTGGTAGAAAAACTTTTTGAAAACCCGTCGACAAATGTTTTTAACAGATCATGACATCTAACGTCGAGGTATAATAAATTTGCTGGGCCTTAATGAATTCTCACAAAATTGTTAGACTAGAAATCTTGGTAATATTAATCCTTTCGTCACACAAAACAATTGACCACTTATATCCTTTTCAAAGATCTATTTTAATATCTGGAACGTAAGATTACAAACACTATATAATGAATAATACATTTCTAAATATATTAGAATTTATATGAAAAGATATCATTTTATGTGCTGTTAAATATCACTAAAGTGTCTTTTACATCATTTTGCACCTAAATGCAAAATCTAATTGTCATATGAACATAAGCACTCTGTCCGATTCAGTACAGATTATTAAAACATGTCAATCTGAACAAAACTACTCATCATATATAAATTTGAAGCGAAAACTAACCTTAATATTTAAGAATAAGAAAATATGCAAATTCGAGGAAACGGCTGGAGTTGACGCTTTAATAGGCTGTTTTACTCCTTTTAGTTAATCCTAAACAAGCCTACTAGTCAATACTTTTTTCTATGAGGTTAGACGAAGCTATTCATGGCAGTTACTTTTTGAAGTATTCATCTGAATCATGAAGCTAAATCAACTACACAGATCTTATCATTTAATAAACAAATCTAAAAGGCTTCAGTTTAAACAGTTCAACAAATAGATACGTTATACGGCAATGTATGTATTTTTGCCCCAAGTAAGATTGATTAGTGTTGTAATTCTTATTATCATTTTTTATGCCAGGATAATAACGCAGTTGATCGTTGAAATATCTACACAGTAATAAAAATTGGAGATGTCAAGTAGCAAAACTGATAGTCTGTGCAACATAAAAACACTTTGTTACCTTTTTTGAGGTTCTTTCATGTGTATTGGTACGACCCTCTTGCAAAGACTGAATTGGGCGTATTTCAACAGTTGGTAAGGGTAGTTTGGGACCATTTTTATTCCATTTTAGACCGTATGGAAAATGCTCTCCAACAACTACGCACAATTCATCCAGACAAGAAAGCCATGAGCGTAACCACTCAACATGTTCAGGAAGGCTATATACAAAAATCACAATAAAAAGGACAGGTAAAGTGAGAAAAAAATTACTTTCTCATTTGCAAAAAGTGATAAAAGGAAAATATCCTAGACTTGGTATCGTACACAACACATCTTTCCGATAGACTTGACTGACTGGAAGGAAAAGCAATAGTAGACAAACATTCCTAAATAAAGCCGAACAGATTATGGCATTTATTTGAACACATAAATATTGGTACAAGAGAGTGCCAATATAAATGCGCCACACAAAACAATGAGAATTCGAAGAGAAAAAGAGGTAAGGAGCGTAAAAAAAGAGAACAATAACGAAGAGATTGGTGTAAGGTAGTGTAGTAATAATGAGGGAACGGAAAGGTACAACCAGAAGAAATCTTTCAGTTAAGGAAGGTACAGCCACTTTTTATGAAGAAAGTAAAAGAAGGTTACAGCAGGATCGCTACTGGCTTTTATTCTGAGCCATGTCTGACGTCTCCAGCCACTGTATCGCACTATCTCTAGGACCCCAGCTAGGGAGTCGTGAAGGTCCAACAGAAGCCAGTCCTATACTGCTTTCTTTCAAATCACAATACCATATCATACACTGATCACCTCTCCGCTTTTTCCAACCAGTCCCAGAGTCGGCAAATAATGCACGACGTGGAATTCTCTGGGACGATGTTCGTAGAACATGTCCAAGCCACCGAAGTCAGTGTTTCAAGATGGTGACACCAATTGCATTATCATCTCTGTGCCCGAACACACGATGCCGGACCTCTGCATTACTAACATGGTGTTGCCACTGGATGTCAGCAATCCTTCGGAGACAACGACGATCGAACACAGAGAGTCGTCTAACGTCCACAACTCGGAGAGGCCAGGTTTCACAAGCATAGAGCAAAACTGCTCTCACCGACGCGTTGTAGATCCGATCTTTTACAGCCAGACTAACATCACGAAGGCGCCCAAGGTGGCCCAGATTGGCATAAACCGCTCTGGCTTTCATTATACCTGGATTGACCTCATCACTCATGCCATCACCAGCACGTATGAAGCTACACAGATACACGAACTCGACTACTTCTATCTTATCACCATCCAGAGTGAGTACAGGATTAGAATCCTGACAGTCTTGTGGAAGTACTTTGCACTTCGAAGGTGCAAAGCACATACCATACCTACGGACACTGATTGCCAACTGATTAAGTGCGGATTGCATGGTTTGGGCATTATCGCACAGTAAGACAATATCGTCCGCATACTCAAGGTCTAGAAGTCTTTCTCCAGGCAGTAGATCGACGCCGCCATTACTTACATCCATCAGAGCTGTTTCCAGAATGTCGTCGATGGCAAAGTTGAGGAGGAATGGCGAGATTGGGCAACCCTGCCTAACCCCACTGCTCGAATAGAACAATGGAGAAAGGTGGTTGTATGCCCTCACTCTGCCTGAGGTGTTTGTATATAGGGCTTTTAGGATGTTAATAAACTTCTCAGGCACACCCTTCTTCAATAGACAATCCCAGAGAACAGTCCTATCCAACGAATCGAAGGCAGCCCTGATGTCAAGAAACACTACGATTGTTTGCCTTTGATAAGTATGGCGGTGTTCTAACATTTGGCGGAGGGTGAAGATATGATCAATACATCCTCGACCAGAACGAAACCCAGGCTGCTCCTCGCGAGTCAATCTTTCTTGGGTTTTGAACAACCTACGACGTATGACGGAAGCCAATAGCTTGGACGCAATCGGAGGTAGACTTATCCCCCGATAGTTGTTACAGGAACGACGTGAACCCTTTTTAAAGATAGGGACAACTATTGACTCATTCCATGACGTTTGTACACTCTCTAGTTCCCAAACCTTTGTAAACAACGTCGTCAATTCCTTAGTCAGAAAGTCACCACCATCTTTAAAAAGGGTTGGAGGTAAGTCATTTGGGCCAGGTGATTTGTAGCACTTCAAGAGTTGGAGTTCCTTGCGGACTTCCGCCTCATTTGGTGGATCAGTCGTCACCGTCCATGGAGAGCAGGACAGTCTGACAGATGTTGGTTTCAGAAAAACTGCTTCAGTACTCATATTCGGTGGTAACATACAACTTTCAACCGGACAGTGTCAGTCAGTCAGCTACAACGTAGGACCAGGCACATATATGCATCGGTCCAAGTTGCCGTACCTCATTAACACAACAAGATGGACACCGGATTCATATAAGTAGTTAATTCGGAGGTGGTAATATATAAAAGAAAGATTGCAATAAGGATATAGTACAGGAAGAAAGAATTAGTTCGTAGAAAGAAAGATATGAAGCGATTTTAATCTCTTAGTTTAAGGGAAGACAGGGAGTGTATACACCGACGCCATTGTGATCGATTCTGAGCCATGTCACCAAGAGTCTCCAACCATTGGTTACGATAGTCACGCGGACCCCAACCAAGTAGTCTGCATCTACCAACATGGCTCAGACTAGAAGCTAGTGACTTCAGGCACTGATGCCACGTTTTGGTTTGGCCGCCCCTAACTTTCCTCCAACCATCTCCAATACCGGATAGCATTACACGTCGTGGTAAACGGTGTTCAGGCATACGTAACACGTGGCCCAACCACCTCAGTCGATGAAGATTCACAACCTCATTAACTGATTTACCATCATTCCTTAATACCCTGCGTCTAACCTCACTATTATTACCCGGTGATCCCAGCAGACGCCAGCAATATTTCTAAGGCATCTGTGGTCAAATACTAGTAGCTCACGAATATCTACTCTTAATGGTCATGTTTCGTTGCCGTAAAGTAAAACAGAACGGACTGCCGCGCAGTATACTCGTCCTTTTATTGATAGACGGATATCTCGCCTTCGCCAAAGGTGACGTAAGTTGGCAAAAGCCAAGCGAGCTTTTCGAATCCGTGCTGAGATTTCGTCCGATACCAACCCATTAAGGCTGATCAGACTTCCAAGATAAGTGAAGTTGTCGACGCGTCCGACTACTTCACTCCCTATCCTTAGTTCAGGTGTTGACGCAGACCAGTCCTGAAGCGGCAGCTTGCATTTAGTGGGAGAGAAGCGCATTCCAAACATTTTGGCATTGTTGTTTAGTGCTACCAGAAGACTCTGCATTTTGTCAGCGTCTTCACCAAACAGGACTATGTCATCTGCATATTCTAAGTCGATAAGTGGACCTCCTGGAAGGAGACCAATACCCGAGAATTCAGTCGACGAGAATGTTATTTCCATCAGTAGGTCTATGATGAAGTTAAACAAAAATGGAGAAAGTGGACAGCCTAACCAGACAGTGACTCGAGAACGTTTAGATAGAGTCGGATTTCCACCAAAGACGAGCTGCTGTATAAGTCGAAAAGATAAGTTTAGACAGAGTAGGAATAAAAGAGGGTGAATAATTTCGTAGTAAATAGTAATAATAGTAATAATAGTAATAATAATAATAATAATAATAATAGTGACAATAATAGTAATGATAATAATTTGAATCATTTGATTGTTATTCGGAGCGAGAAAAGTAGTTTCCATAAATATGGAGAGTTCATAATTTGCGTGCGGGCTGTGATACTGCCCGGGTGCCCAGACCGAAGCAGGTGGTTATCTTAGGGGGCCACACCCCGAGCCTTTGGCCTAAAGGTCTAACCCACAAGGCAGTGGAGCATCGTAAAGAGATGCAGTCCCATGGCGGCCGATGACCGAAAGTTGGTTCATACGCCATGTGTTCTCGCAGGATACTGGAGCTCATGTGCACTATTGGTTCGGGATTCGGTTAAAGCGCCGGACATTCGCTTCGCTTTTCGTCCTCTCATTTTCGTAAACAACAGTAGTGCCACGAGAAGGCAGTGAGTAGGACTTCTCTGGCAGAGGCTGTATACCCGTGGCCATGTGAGAGCATTTTGAGAGGGAGGGCGGACCCACCCCACTCTCGGCCATACCAGGGCATTTGGGGGCAGACTATGGTATAAATATAAGTTGGTGGCTTTCCATTTCAACAACTCTGAGTACCTGAGTGAACTAACTTACATCAGTTCCACTAAACCGGTAAATATTAGTCAATGCATCAATACTGTGATATATAATTTTTTTTAAAAAAGGATCATCGAAGTAAAATGATGTCAATTTATTCATTTCGAGAATTAATGACGCAAAATAATCGACTTACAGAGACAATGGAATAGTTACTGACCGTTATTTATTGTACAACTGCTTTTCGATTTTAATTCATGAAATAAATATTCATTTTCACTATATATGAATACTAACTAATGACATATGCATAAGACTGTAACAGGTTTCAAAAGCAAACCTACATGAAACAAACTTTCCCCTAGTGAAGTCTTTACTATTAACACACTTGATGAATTCTAAGTACGTAGGCATACACACTATTGAAGTACTTACTATGAAGACAAGGACAGTAAATGTGAACCTTGATACGAACAAAATCAAAATGAGTCCAAACGTTTGACCTACCTTACTAAGTTCAGATGCGAAAGTGTGCTTCGATAACAGAGTAAGCATGTATTCTCTAGTCCAAGGCTTTACAGGCGTGATACCCAATAACCCATTTTGAGTCAATCACTTAGTTACATCAAGTAATCCTTAGACATTTAGGAGCAAACAGTAAGGAATCCACAGAGCGAACATTGCCGCATCTGGTTAATAATAGTATTCGTGCTTTTATGCCAGAAGATAACTTACCTCTCACGGCAATACTGAAAGACTTTGTTAGCGTTCAACCATGTTGAGTCCTTCAATTCTTTAACGTACTGCGATGCTGAAGACTAAGATTTGTTATATTACGAATCTGTAGACTTACAGACCCAACCCAATTCAGTATAAGGACAGAATCTGCAATGGTTGATAGCTGACACTTCCGTACGGACATAGCTCCAACCCTGAAGTTCTTGACTTCATTTAAGTTATTACGGAGAATTAACGTACTGCTATTTCAATCATCTTAAAATGAAGAGGCTTTAAGTGAACATCCATATCCACTTCAGTTGGTTTGCTATAAATGTTGGATAGTTCAATGAGATCCCTGACGAAGCCGAAAGCGTTTTGGACACATAATGACTACAAATAGACAATGGATTGTAGTTACCTGAGATTGTATGTTTCCTCCCAGCTTTTTACTACATGCGACATAATTTTTAAGGCTATTAGCAATAATCAGTTCAAAAGCAACCAGTCCAGGAGTTTTTTCTGTGTAATGAACAAATCGACTTAGGACTTACCTGGTGTTATTGTTTGTGCTATCCTTTCAAGCCGAAGAACTATGCTTTCTAAACGATCACAGAACTCTACTCTGTTGAGAACGCCTAATACGGATGACGTGTTGTTGCTGCTGCCCTCACATAATAAATTCACTTTTGAAGCATCAATTCCATCAAGTTGGTGAACCGTAGACCAGTCACCTAAACTAGCTGAACCCCCGTCCCCAGCACCCGGAGTGTGACTAATAGTTGATAGAGATAAAGTCTCCTTAGCACTTCCATCTTGGTCAGTCTGTCTAGTATCGTTTAGGGTTTGCTTGTTTACACAGTTAGCATAGTCTGAGCCACTACTTTTTGTACATTTACGGCGGCGTTTATAACAAGACAGACAACTAAGCCTATTGCTAAATAATAGATATGAAGAAAGGGGATGACTAACGTATTCCTGCTCATATGTTTCGAAAGGCTGTAGATTTTTTTTTACCTGATCTGAAGGAAGTTTGGGTACTGAGACAGCGTTTGTAGAAGTGTGTGAAGAAAGCTTGAAAGGAAAGCAAGTGAAAATCTGAAATGGAGACTCAGAAGGCACAGAGTGTACTTACATTAACTAGTGTAAGCAGTTCATAACAATTTGTAGCAACAAATGTTCGAGATTAGGGTAACAACGGTGCGGTAACGCACAATTTCAAATCAGTGCTCATCCTAGCGATGTCAAGCCTCAGACTTTGCAAGATAGAACTAGCACATTGTTTATCCCTTGGAATTTGCATCCGGTTACTAGAAGACAGTTCTCATTTATGGAGAGGTATAGTCCTTGTTGTATTCCCCTGTAAATAATAACGTTGCGCGCTCTATTTAAAAGGAGAGTGGTATTGTTTCTCGTTGAGTTAATTAACTGTTTTGATCGTAAATTACGCATCAAAACTACTGTTTACACTTTAATTGCATCTACCCCGTTAAAGTGATATTTTATTGAGTTTTTCGATTTTGCTTCTGTGTATTTATTGCATCGAAGCATACTTGGTCGACCTTTACTTGGTTTATTTAGCTAAGGTTTGATAATCCTTCTACATATCCTGTTTTTGTCACCGTTCTAGTTGATTTTCAAGATGGCTAGGTCTACTCATAAATGTGGACAACCATACTGCTTATTCCGCGTGGATGAAGAGATGCAATGTGATGAGTGTAATAAGTGGTTCCATAAGATGTGCACCCGACTAAGCCCCAGTGCATATAAAAGGTGCTCAAAGCCCAACTCTCATTGGCGTTGCGGTTTTTGTTGCTCGAGCATAACATTGCTTATCCAGGTAGCAATTCGTCTCCTGGTGTTGGGTAATAAGAAGGTTGATTAGGGCTGTACTGGCAACATTGGTACTGATGGCGAAGATTTAGTTAGTGTCGTAAGTGCTATCACGGCGCAAGCTAGACATCTACCTGTGCAACCCGCAGTTAAACGTTCTCCCCCGAAACGATAAGTGAGTGACACGTCATTAGACGTTGGTGGCCATATTGCTACAGTAGCAACCGGTGACCCAGATAAAACAATTACTGTCCCGAGTTGTTCTAATGTAGACGTTTCGACTGATGGAAAATGGATGACGCGAAAACGCAGAAGAGTAGGTAAGATAGCTAAAACTAATGACTGTTTACTTGGTAAGGCCTTGGTGGACTCTCAGACCAATCCGCCAAAGCTCCAAAGTAAAGCTTCGTCTAACATTGTTGTGAGTCACTCACAGGACTCCGTTACAATAAAAGGTAATCGTAAGATACCAGTAGTTAATATACAGAATCTAACGTCCCGATATAATCGTTGTTACAGAAACTTGGTTCACCGTTGATATAGACTGTTCTCCTTTCATTGCTGGTTATATCTGTATCAGAAGTGATAGAGTTTCAAGTCGCAAGGGGGGAGGTATAATATTTTACGTTAGGGATCACTTTCGTATACAATCAACCATATCGGAGGCTCATATCAGTGGCACATGTGAGGTTGCATGTTGCAAGATTAAATCTAGAAATGGGTTAGTGACTATAGGGGGAATATACCGTAGTCCATCTTGTCTGGCTGACGACTTTATCCTAAGACACATCTGTTCTTGGAGTATGGCAGAATGTTGTCTCATCATTGGGGACTTCAACGCACCGCATATCAACTGGATAGAGCTTACAGCTCCAGGTAGTGGTTTCGATAGCGACCTTTTATCTACCGTTATTCAGTGTGCACTTGAACAATGTATCACAAAACCGACACATATTGATTTGCAACATGTTCCGTCACTGCTGGAACTCGCCCTCACCCACCACTCTGAGGATGTCTTTGATATTCAGTACCTTCCCCCACTAATGAACAGTGATCACGTTGTAATACACTATAAGTTTAGGACACATGGTATACGATTTGTATCTGTTCTACCCCGTCCCAATATCTAGCGAGCTAATATTCCGGCGATCAGAAACTGTGCTATCTCGACTGATTGGTCGGTCGACTCGGCTAGATCGATCGAAGATGAATGGAATAAGTTTAAGGCTACATTCGAGCCGGTAACGTCGCCGTTCATCTCATGGTCAGCACATAAGCTATCAAATTGCCCTCCATGGATTAATAAGAAAACCCGGAAGCTGTTAAAGCGTAGGAAACATTTCTGGAACTTATCCTTGTTGACAGGTCATGCACCATTTAAGCGTGAGTACCAAAAGTTCCGGAATATTTGTAAGAAAACCATAGCTAAAACCCGTACCACTCACGAGCGAAAGTTAGTATATGATAGCCGTACTTGTCCGAAACGATTGTTTTCGTATGTTAAACGGCAAATGAAACGTAGTGATGGTATTCCCCTGTTACTGTTACACGAAAATTCCGAATTATTAGCTGAATTCGATCGAGCAAAAGCTGAGACTTTTTCAGATTATTTTAGCGAAGTCTTCTCTACGTTTATTGTAACAAATACTTGTCCCACTCACACCGAGATACCAACTATTGAATCTGTACAGGTGACTGAGGAAACTGTCCTTCCGTTGATAACTAACCTCAAACCTGGTAAGATACCGGGCCCTGACGGGTTACATCCACGGTTGCTGTCATCTCTTGCGGACATTATTTCAAAACCGCTTGCGACACTCTTCAACATGTCCCTTTCATTCGCTCAACTCCCTAGAGATTGGAAGGACGCTATAGTCAGTCCTATATTTAAGAACGGTCAGCGACAGATAGTATCTAATTACCGGCCTGTCAGTCTAACTAGCATAGTCGTTAAGTTACTCGAAAAGATAATTCGGGTTAGGTTGCTAAGCCACATAGATTCACACAATCTGTTAGCTCCTGAGCAACACGGATTTCGTAACAAGCGTTCATGCTTGATTATTATTATTATTATTATTATTATTATTATTAATGGCTTTATTCAATATTATCTTTTTGGTACAATATAGAATTCTCAGCGCTTGCTTACTGCGAAGGAGGATTGGACAGCAGCCCTAGATCACGGTCTGTCTGTCGACGTGATATTCACAGATTTTAGCAAAGCATTTGACAAGGTTTCACACGTAGGTTTTATGCAGAAGCTCACGAGCTTCGGAATATCAGGTACTGTACATGAGTGGATAGGAAATTTCTTATGTGACCGCAGACAGAGAGTGAGGGTCAACGGAACGCTATCCGATTGGAAGCCGGTCAAATGTGGTGTACCCCAAGGCACCATCTTAGGCCCTCTGCTCTTCCTTCTCTACGTTATTAAGTTGCCGCTGTTACTTAGGTCGTCGACATTATTGTTTGCGGATGATGTAAAAATCTGGAGAACAATAAAAAGTGCGGCTGATCATTTGGATCTTCAAGCTGACTTAGACGATTTAGTTAGATGGGCTCGAGAGTGGGGCTTAGAAATCAATGCTAGGAAGAGTGTACTAATGCACGTCGGTCACGGTAATAGTTACCGTTACACTATTGAGGGTAAACCTCTTCCTTGCGTTCGAGAGTAGTATTAAGTCATAATTTAAAAACAACTGCGCATTGCAAAGCAGCCACTGTCAAAGGTTTTTGTGCGTTATGGTCACTTCGCCGAGCGTTCAAATCTTTTGACGAGGAAACGTTTCGAATTTTATATCCCACCTATATAAGACCACACTTGGAGTACTGTATCCAAGCAGCTAGCCCGTGTCTAGTAAAGGATACTAACTCCCTTGAGCGTGTCCAGCGTGTGGGAACGAAATTAGTGAAGGGTCCTTCTAGACTCCCTTACGATGAGCGCTTAAAACGCCTAAATCTTTTCCCCTTGTCGTATCGTAGGACACGAGGTGACCTTATACTGGCATTTCGTATCTTTAATTATGATTTGTGTGTTAATATGTCTTATCTTTTTGCTCCCTCCAGCACTAATAATCTCCGAGGTCATAGCAAGAAGGTTCATAAACCACGATCTAATAAACTTAAAGTGGGATCCCGTTTTTCTCATCGAGTAGTCAGTGATTGGAACGCCTTACTCGAACAAGTGGTATCAGCCCCATCAGTGAATACTTTCAAGAAGTAGCTGGACCTTCACTGGAAAGCAATGTGTCAGGATTAACACAGGTTCATCAACCTACTATCCTTATTACTGAAGACTGAAGACTGAAAGTGGTGGAAGTATAACACCTGGAGTAATCCCAATTAGTACTCACAGGGCTAAAGTAATCATTAAGCCTTTTGTTGGAGCAGTCGGTAGAAGATCCCATCGCTATTTATTTCGGTAGGATATTCCATAACTTACAGACACGATATTCTGACGATGTCAATATATAACGAGCGATAAATAGTAAAGGTGGTAGGTTGACTGGTTTGACATTTGACAGTTGCCGATAAATGCTTTCAAGTGCATTACGATGCATATTGGTCATCAAACCAAAGATACACACACGAAAGTTAACATTAATCCACTTGCTATCCAGACGCATAATGACTTAGAAGTCATTGCTAGCACTGACTTGAAATCTGTTACACACTACCGTGTGACAACCGCCAAAGGTTTTAAAACGTTATGATCAGTACGCAGAGCCTCTAGGCATGTTGATGCTAGAACCTTCGTTTAACCACACTTGGTGTTCTTCAGTCTTCCTCATCCGAGCTTTTATTATGTGACTTTAACTAAAGACTTACCTTTTGTTACCTAATTGTTATGCTACATGTTGTCGGACTATTAACAATGAGGTCGTGTTTGACAAAGCTCAAGTGGTTCAGTGTGTGTCTGTTAGCCTTTGACTGTATGCCTGGAAAGATTGCTGAAATCCCTGAAGATAGGTATCTGGTCCCATCTTGTTGGGAATATTTTTATTGATTCTCAGGTATTGAGCTTGTAGCGTGGCGTCGAGTTGAGATTAACTATGAACACCGCTACAAAGAAACACGTGCCAAATAAATCAGAAGGCGTAGGTTGAACGTAACCAAAGAAACCCATAAAATCTACGAGAAGCCAAATATCAGAAGACAGTTAATGGACCAAATCGAGATATATTCGCTGGCGATCTCGTGGTATCGAAAGGATACCGAGATCGTGCCAGGATACAAGCTTGGTTACAGAACGTAACCGAATTCGCGCGAAGT